CACAGCCCCCCCCGAGCTCACGGGTCACGGGCCCCAGCACAGCAGAGCTACCGGACAGGATCCACTGCACCCCCAGAGCTCACGGGTCACGGGCCCCGGACAGGATCTGGGCGAAGATCTCTGGGGGCAGCCGATGGCCTCCTCCGCCTGACGGGCTCTCTCAACGGACCTACAAAATCTGTTATTCCTGCAGTACAGCGTGGAGAGAGGCTCTACATCCACACAAGTGCTGTTACTCATGGCTGGCTACAGTTGAATTGCACACATGGTAATGTGGGATGGCAAGATCCATTTTCTATGCTTGTATCATCCTTCCTTAAGCCTCTGAATCTATCCTGTGCATTCGACTCATCCTAATCCTGCATTTTCTGTTTTTTATTTTGTAGAGATGGGGCTGATGACCAAATCCACCCATTTCATCCAACTTACAGCAAAATTCCCGGAAGATATTTGGATCTACATATACAAGAAGACAGACCCCAAATTAACAAACTTGTGGGATCCACAAGGTCATATATTATGCTTTTCACACAACAACTCGATATTAGGGAAACAATACTAGAAAGATGCATGAGTAATAGCTGCCAAAATACAATTTGTTACAATCCCTGAATATCACCAGATGCCACACGTTGATGCACACAGAAAACCAAAATTATTTGTTACTAACTTAAAGGTTAGTAATTTCAAATATTTTAGCTACCAGAACAATACCTTAAATTTACATCACATTTCTTGGTCTCTACTCTAAAGCAGACATACATCAGTTCTGGAGGAGGAGAAAGATGACACCTCACAAGTTTTTTAATAATGTCAAATTAAAACAGAAGGAAAGGTCCTGTGAAATCCCACTTTCTTATTTTTAAAACCTCCGAGTTGTACATTTTCCACTGCCAAGTAGCCTCCGGACAAAAAAGTTTCATAAGCATCAATCAACACCAGAGTTCTTATTCAGTGGTCAAAGTAACCATGGAAACAACTTAACAGCTTTAAAACCACACACAAAAAGCTCAGAGAATGGAAATCAAATCCCAGTTTAGTTGCACCTAGGGATGCAACTGAAAGGCATAATCTGATTAACAAACTACTTTTTCCCCCTTAAGACACAAAAAGACACAAGGATGACTGACTAAAGTAATGATTTTGTTCAGCCTGAGATCCTAAAAGAGAACTTGAACTTTGAGATTAAACTAATCCTTCTATTGAACGGAGAGGATAACCAAAATGAAAACCTTTACAGTGTATATGTCAGTATGAAACATCATAAAACACACCTAATTCTTCATTCAATACAAGCTGCTTAGAAACTAGAAGAATGCTAACTACTTTACCAAAATATACGTAAACTGGAGTTTGGTGCAGATGGTGAAATACGGATTATTTTAACATGAAGGTATAGGACTGCAACCTTCAAAACAGTGAAAGGTAAAACAACGAAAATGCAGATTCCTTAAGTTTGAATATTGACAGTGGCTACAGAACAGACAACGTTCCACAAACTTATCTCAATACGTATTTCTGAGATAGGCTGACAGAGAAAAAGACAAAAATCAGCTATCTACTGAAGTGAAACAAAAGACTCTCAACCCATTTAAAAAATGTATCTGATATAAAACTGTGCTCTAGCAGAAGAAATCTTAAATTCTGCAGTTCTGCTTCAGATGTTTTAAAGAACATCCCTGCTGAAAAAGCTTCCTTGGAGCACATGGGGTGAGGTGCACCCACAGCAGCTCCCAGACAAATGGGAACCTGACTAAAACAGCCCAGCTCTGAGCAGGTTCCTCTGGCATGACCTGGAAAGCAAGGGCGCCGTCAAAAAACCTTCCCATGGTACAGCTGCAAACTTGGCCCTTTTATAACACATTTGGGGCAGGAGAGAGAAGGTGGCACAAACCTGGGTGCCACCGCTGACTATCCTTAGGAAGAGAACGTTGATAGGACGGGTCTGGGGCTACGTGTCTACCAGGGCCACTGCTGGCTTACCTCCTCAGAGACAAACGGACAGCCAAGACAGGAACCCAGCGTTCCCTCGAGAAGAGAGCACAACCGGCAGTGAGCCTGGTGGGGTCTCGCCCTCAGCCTGCACGCCGTGGTTCTGTCTGCAAGCTGCCCTGGCATTTCCAGGGGAATAAAGGAACCACTAAACTTGTCAGCCTCTAGCGCAGTGCTGTTGGTAAAAGCTGCGAGGGCGGCAGGGCAGTGGAAACGGGGCCCAGAGAGGCTGTGGGGTCTCCATCCCTGCAGGCTTTCACAAGCTGACAGGACACGGTCCTGGGTACCTGTGATGCTGCGATTCTGGGATAACTTCTGCACATACAGCCACCACTGAAACTCTGCAAAGCTCTTTGGAGACTCTTTACCAGGAAAAGCCGGAAAGGCGAGCTCCTTTGCTATTTTAGAGCAGGCACAATGGTCTGAGCTGAGACAGAATTAGATCGCATGGACATGGGGAGCATGCAAAAGATGGCAACGACGCTAACTACTGCTGGGTTATTTTGCCAGCTGCTTTACAGGAGGCTTCGACTCTCTTCACACCAAGCACCCCGCAACAACTCTATGAATACTGCTGAGTTTTGAGAACATCACCAGTAGCAAACCGCACCAAACCACATGTACATGCAGCACTACGGAAAGAAAGACTGTCTCTGCAAACAGCAATATCCAACATTCAGGTGTGCTTACATATGACTGAAAGTCTTATTAAACTCCATTCTAGTTGGCAGGATGCGTTTCATCCTAACAAATGTTACGAAAAGGTGAGACTTTACAGACAAGTTCAAAAGGAAATTACGAGTGGGCAAAAGAAATCGGTTGTATGGCATAAGGAAAGGCACACAGCTGGAAAGCACCTTCCAGAACGAGGCATCACTATATCCAAGTAATAAGAAACTGTTTAAGAATTACCAAAACCCACTGGTTTTGATAGTTTAAAAAATAGTTTTCTTCTACGCTCCACTCCCATCCTATTTTTCAACAGAATTGACAAATATGGTGCTTTATTTTAATTGCAAAACGCTGATAATTGCCCTTTAAGGGATCTGTGTCTTTCAAAATTAAAATGCTTACGTGGTGTGCATGTACTTGTGCAGAAGGCACCCTGGGAGGACAGAAGGAGCCAAGTGACCCGCTCTGTGCAGCCAGCACAAGGTAACCCCTCACACCACTGCCAGCACTTGAAGAGAAATTCCTGGGAAGTGAAGCAGTTCACCAGCCAGCCTTCTGGGACAGGAAAGCAGGCGTCTGTCATGGAAAATACAGGCACCAGGGAAGATCAGTGTTTAATGCTCTTGCTCTTGATACTCTGGAGAGACCAGAAAAAGGGAGAAACTGGCCTGGAACGGGAAGAAAACTCATTGCAGCCTGAGTAACAGATGCAGCGAAGTGCATGGAGTGAGAAACACACGGAGTGAAGGTTAGAATAAAGGGTCCACATGGACAATCTTTGCCATGCTCATACCTGACAGTATTTGCTCATTTTCTGGCATTTACTTCTGAACTCTGGGTTACTTTTTCAGTACACAAAACACTAACGTTCTCTTATAGTGCTTACTTTAAAAAACAACCAATTTCTAAAGAAAACAGAGTGATAAATAGAGGCTATTAGGACCACTGAAGTAATTTCTATTTATGTGTTTCAAGGCCAGGATCTTTCTTTTTTTTGTTTTGTTTTGTTTATATGTACATGGGATATTATCACTGGAATTAGCTTCTGGGAAAAGATATTCACCACATTAAATACTCCTCAGAAAAAAAAAAAAAAAAAAAGGAGTTTAAACTCTTGAATAACTGTCAACAGCCGCAGAAAGCAGGCAAAGCAACACAGAATAATCAAAACCAGCTCCATATTTTAAGCATGAAACAATGCTTCTTCTGTTGCGAGATATTTTTAGAGTAACAACAAAAAGTCAAAACTGAAGTTTGAAAGTATTCCAGTACAAATTCAATGTTCCAGCTAGTGGATATGTGCTTTATGCACCACAATGTTCCTTTGCACTTAAAATTGAAAGCCCAGTATCACAGGAGTTTGGACAGAAAAAGCCAGCTGGATTTGCATATTTAGTTTTAAAATGCAAACTTATTTAATGGTTTCAAGCCTCTGAATTTGCCAGCAGGGTATCTGAAGCTCCTGATGCTCTGAGCTTGGCCACAAGTATATTAGTCAGACAGAAATGTTTAACGAGACACAATGCAGGATAGACGGGGTTCAAATACGCATTTAACTAAACAAGTTCCACCAAGAGCTGAACACTTACTGTTACAGGGAAATAACTCCAAAACACCCGATATTAAAATAATGATTAAGTAGTGGGTCTTACTAAAAGATTAGGCCTTCTTGCATCACAACTACACTTTCATTTTAAAGCAGCAGTTTAGATGCCACTAGCAAAAAAAAATTGTCAGTGAATGTAAGTCCATCATGTCCATCACTCACAGTGCTGCACTAGCGGCTGATGCTAACAGGAGCAGGAGAGAGAAAAATAAAAATGGCAGAACATCGTATGAGCCATCACAGCTCATGCTTTTGAAAGCCATGTTATTTTTCACAAATAATACTAAGTATAATCTCAATTTCTTAATTGTATCCGATTATATGTAAAAAAAAGGAAGAAATTTCAAATTCACAGATTCCATCAAACTTCTTTAAAACGTTCTGTAAAATGTTGATAAAGAGCAAGGCATACAAACAAAATAAGTAAGAGTATGCCCATCTACAACAGAACATAATGCAGAAATAAAAGCATCCATTCTATCCTAACATTCAAAAACCTGGCACACATATTTAGGTCAAAGATATAAAGATACTGGAATACAAGAAGAAGGAAAAACAAAGGAAACTAAGTCTCAAAAGAGTATTGCAAGAAATTAAGTCTGATCTACATGAGAATCAAACAAGATCCAAGAAAGACTTAATAATATGGAACTTCTTTGTAGCCCAAATTAAAAATCTGAACACGAAGAAAATAACGGCAGATACAATGCATACAAATACATAAGCACTTCAATAGCTTTTATTTCATCATCCAGAAATCAAAACCACTGACCTCATTTCTCCAGATTCTCTGCCTCTAAAGCACTGTAGCATTACATTCTGAACATTATCTGTTCGTTGACATGATGATGTCTCCCTTGTTATCTGAGCACAACACGAATGTCTAGCTAGCCTGTAAGTTGGAAAACGTAAGAGTCCCAACCACTTATCACATTAATTTCTACTGAAGTGAATGAAGTTTTCATGCATA